TTGCCTCCAGAAGTTGTGAATGCCCCAACCCTGGAAGTCTTTAAGAAGATATTGGATAGCCATTTGTCTGAAACGGTATAGGGTTTCCTGCCTAGGCAGGAGGTTGGACTAGAAGACCTCCAAGATACCCTTCCAACTCTGCTATTGTATTGTATATAAAATCATTAACACATCTCAAAACAGGTATGATAACATTTTAAAAAAAAACACAGTCTCCCCTAAATTTTTTTTTAAGGTGAGGAAATCCCAGCCCTGGAATCTTTCACTGTTTCCTTTTGTACTGCAATACTTCATCTCGCCAAAAAGAAAAAAAAAATTGTAGATCCTGCCCACCAAAAGGATCCCTCCCCAGCATTACATTCTAAATCTTTTTCAAAACATCCAAGTTTTAGGTGTGCATTCACTTCCTCTCTCTCTTTCTTTCTCTCTTTGACAGTTGCTTGTTTTAGAAAGGAGTGTGGGTGGCGGTAAATTTGGCTGCTTCTGCCTTTTTTTTATAGTAGGATGTTCCTCTTTTTCTTTGGTGTGAAAGGTTTTGACCTTTGTGGGGCAGCCCATGTGCGTTTTGCAGAAACGCAGGGCTTGGGCTGCTGATCCGGTGAGACCAACATTTCCTGATTCTGCACTCTTTTTTTGGAACTCAATATGCAAAACTGAAAATGAACCGCTGGTAAACGTCGCAGCTAATAAACTGGACATAATCCGGTTATTCAACATATTCTACTGAAGGAAGTTGGCTATTGCTTGCACCTGTTTTTCCCTATTCTGTATGTACATGGAGCTTTTTCAGGCTGGAAGAATCAGGGCCATATGTTAAGTTCCAATTAAGAAGATTTATTGCTCACACTTATACACAAGAATTTAGTCAACCTGTCAGCAGAAACCTGGCACTAGATAAGAGCCAACAGAACTCAAGGGAGGTTGGGCTTTCAATCTCTTGTGGCAATGTAAGAACTCCAGGCTGATTCCTCTCTTGACTCAACCCCCAGACTCTGCCTCTCCTTGTCTTATGGAAATGGGTTCGAAACCTTTATGTGATGACTTTTTGTATTCTGAACCTACTTGCTTTAAATCACAGCAGACCAAGGCCTCATTCCTGTCCATGATTCTTGGGGAACATTTGATTCAAGGAAGCCTCAAGCTAGCTGAGCTTTCACTAAACTGATGTCCCCAGCCTGAGTGGGAATTTTGGGCCTTGTAGTCAGAAGACATGTAGAAGATACCAATATGGAACTATAGCATCAAAAAGCCATGAGTTCACATACGATGTGAGAAAAAAGGTGGCACAGGCAGTACTGCCCAGTCACAAGGTTTGAATCTTGAGGCCCATAGTATGAGCTAGTGACAAGTTCGTGATGGTGAACCTATGGCGGGCATGTGAGCCGTCGCCCCAGCTCAGCTCCACCATGCATGCGTGTGCGCCTCCCAGCAGTCAGCTGATTTTCGGGTCTCTGCTGCACATGCACGGCACATGTGGGAGACGTGAATGCAAGTGGGCGCCCCCCTGTGGACCATTTTTCATCCCAGGAGGCTGTAGGGAGGCCTAGGTCCAAAACGGGGCATGGGGGGGGAAGGGCACATGTGCAGAGGGGGCAGGGGTGTTGCATGCGGCATTGCATTATGAATATGGGTCCGCGCTGTCATGCATGCACATGCTTTCGGCACACAACGACAAAATGATTACCCATCACTGTTGTTTCAGGTTTCAGGTTTCAGGTTTCGTTTTATTTATATGCCGCCCTATTCCCAGCNTCTACACTTTATATAAGGCCTTCAGAAAAACTACAATGGGGTAAATATAAATAGGAAGGGACAAAGCAGAGAAGCAGTGAACTTTGGTATTTATTTAATCAGCTAGGCACACTGACACACTCATCAGGATTATATAATGTTTAGGTTAGATTGAAGGGGTCCATCTAATTCAGAACTCTACTTTTTGGGAAGGCCATAGGACCGTGATGGCGAAGTATGGCATAGGTGGCACGCAGAGCCTTCTCTGCAGGTACGTCAGCCATCGGCCAAGCCGAGCCCAGTTCCACCGTACATGCGCGCCGGACAGCTGGCCTCTGGATCTCTGCTGCACATGCACAGAGGGCACACGGGGGGAGGGCACGAATGCATGCACGGGGGTGGTGTGCATGCGCGGGGGGGCGTTTGCATTGCATTTTGCAGGTTCACACATGTGTGCGTGCACGCCCCCCCGCCCCGCTTTGGGCCCGGAAGGCTGCCTGCATCAACCTGGAAGCCATAAATGGGCGGGGGTGCATGCAAAGAAGGCAGGGCATGCGCGGGGGTATGGTATTTGCATTGCATTTTGGGGGTGCACACTCTTGGGGTACTCGGCACCAAAATGGTTCGCCATCACTGCCATAGGAAATGAAATCTTCTCTAGACAGCCTCTATCATTTGGAGAGAAAGAGAGATCCTGTCTGAATATACGAGTTTCATAAAGCCTCTTTGATGGCAGCTGTTGATACTGCCCCTCATGAAATTATTATGAAGTCATTTAATCTAGTCGCCATCTCTGCATCGCGACAGGGGCTTCAGTAAATTCAGCATGCGATAATGAATTAAATCCTCTGGACTGGAACTAGAGTGGGGTTTTTCCCCTCCAGTTTTCTGTATTTGCTGTGGAACCTTAACTTTTCCAGTAAAATATAGGCCAATATATTTTTCTTTAGGCAGAAAAACTCTCTGGTTTAGAACACTAGTGATCTGTTTGTAAATTGCGATTGTTGATTGTAAAGTGGACTTTTTCAAGTGCGGTTGATGGTTCTTTTGATTTTCGATAAGTTATCACTTATAAATAATTTGGAATTGCCATTTCACAGGAAGAATTGGTGTAGTTTGGGAGTGTGAGTGGAGATGATTAGCCCAATTTTATTAACGATATTAAACAGATAGAAAGAGCTTATACGGAAATATATTAAAAAATATTTAGAGAGTGCAAAACCCGAGAGAGGGGTGGTGGGTGGAGGGAGAAACTTCCCTCTTTATTCTCCAAAAGGTATATTCAACAATAGCAATTTACCACTATCTCTTAAAATATAACCAAATATCTATATATTCCACACCTCACCCCCTTTTCTATAAATTCATTTCTAAATCTTCAGCTCTTCTTATTAGTCAGCAAAGATCCGGTAAAAATGAACAA